CGTGTGCTACAGGTACGGCCCGCTGGAGAACGAGCGCAGCATCAACCTCCTCTCCTGGGCCCTGCAGCTCCTGGGCCTGTTGCTGATGTACTCGGGCATCCAGATCCATCCTATCGCCTTGGCCTTGGTGGTCATCGCTCTCTGCGCCAAGAACCTGGACTACCCCCTGCAGTGGGCCTTCGCTGCCTACAGGTGAGGACTGCAAGCCACCCCGGCTTGCTCCCAATTCCCAGCTGCGGTCGGGCCTGGACGAGCTGCTGGATGGAGTCTGCGCCGCAGAACCAGGCATTTTTGCTGTGGTTTGGGGCTGGGGCTGGGGTACCACAGGTGTTGTGTCCCTTTTTCCCTGGGGTTGGTGCAGGAGAGTGCCCTGCTCCTCCTCATGCCTGGGAGCCTCCCTTGGGAGTGAGGAGCAGAGACCAGAGGGAGCTGGGCCTGCCCTGGGGGTCCTGCCCAGGCTGGGCAGGCAGTAACTGGTGCTGCTCCGCTGGCAGGAGAGCACAGAGTGCCAGGCTTGGGCCGAGCCCCCCTCGCCTGCTGACGGAGGAGGAGTACCGGGTCCAGGGTGAGGTGGAGACGCGCAAGGCCCTCGAGGAGCTTCGAAACCACTGCAGAAGCCCGGAGTTCTCTGCCTGGGCTGCAGTCTCCCGCATCCAGTCTCCCAAGAGGTAACGTCCTTTGGCTGCCCTGCGTCTCTCTGTGCTTCTGAAAGCCTGGGTCGCTCTGTGCTGTCACGTGTGGTGTTAGAGATAGGGGGATGGAGGCACAGGAGGCTCGTGGTGTGTGGAAGCCAGGTGTGCTGCGGGGGAAGGACAGATAAGACCTAGTCCCGGCACTGGAACGCTTTGCCCTGGCGCCCTGTGTGCCAGGGCCTCGCAGGAGGCCGCCAGGCGTGGTGCACAACGCACTTCTTTGTGGCTTCTTCCAAGGTTTGCTGACTTTGTGGGTGGCGCCTGTCACGTCACCCCCGACGAGATCTCTGTCCACGAGCGGGAGTACGGCCTGGGTGGCATCTTCCTTGAGGACCAGCTCTTCGAGGAGGAGGAGGAGGATGACTGCTTTGATGGGAATCACACGAGTTACTTCCTGACCCACAACCACCAGGATGCTGATTGAGGTCAGCTGCCCGCGGAGGCGAGGGGCAGAACTGCCGCTGCCTCCCCACGGCCCTGACGCCTGCGGAGCGCGAAGCCCCGTTTGCGGGGGAGAGCTGGCGCCCC